GAAATGAATTGGAATATCGGTAGCTCGGGAGCCTTGCTCAGTTGTTGTGGAGTTCTCCGAGCTGGGCAACTTGGTTGCAGACGTTTCGCCACCATTCGAGGTGGCATCTTCAGTGCGGGATTGATAGCAGTGAAGTAGCAGTAGCTGGTAGAAAGCAAACCCAATAATGGATACTGTCGGTAACTACTCTGTTCCTTATATAGGCACATGAGGCTATTAATTTTGCCTCGATCTCATTGGTGAATCCTTATGTTCAGCGGTTGTGCTCGAGTCAATGTCATTGGCTGCGGAAATGTTGTTGCAACAACAGAGTAGTTACCGACAGTATCCATTATTGGGTTTGCTTTCTACCAGCTACTGCTACTTCACTGCTATCAATCCCGCACTGAAGATGCCACCTCGAATGGTGGCGAAACGTCTGCAACCAGGTTGCCCAGCTCGGAGAACTCCACAACAACTGAGCATTAGGTCGCTTGTTCGCCAATGTGGTTATGGCCAAACTAGAAAAGGGTCAGTTGCATGAAATGATTGAGCGACTGGCACCCTATGAACTCTATGTTGATGACGTAATGTGCATAGCTGACTGTTTTGTAAACCAAGTTGAATTATTACGGAAATTCAATCGGACCCACAAACACATTTAGTTTTGCATGGAACCTATCAATTGAAGGTCTGGCTTTCCTGGATGTTCAAATGTCACGTCGACCAGATGGCTCAATGCAGCGTAGAACCTACAGGAAAGCGACGCGTATCCAGTTCTCTTCACCATATCTGACAACTTACCCGCCATAATCTTCTACTAGTTGGAGGGCTGAGTGACGCATTCGGTTGACGCGTTTCGCGTTGAACACAATCAGCAAGCTCAGGGCAGCCGGTAAACCCAGGACGAAAAGTATGCCGAAGATCAACCCGGCAATAGCTTCGGCGTTCATTTGTCCGGATGCGGAACTTCGATAGCTTCGTGCCAATTCGACAAAAGCAAAGCCAATTCCGGTGTCTTGCAGCAGGAGCGATGAAAATATGTTCCGGGGATACGATAAGAAAAACGCGCCGTGATAAGAAACTTGTTCCTCAATAACGGCTATTCCCAGGTCTTCATTAACAGAAATATGCGAACGGATTGCGTGGTCGCCAAAACGCCCACAGTACGAAAGAAGCCTGTCTATTTATCGTTGCCTTTCAAGGGAGAACACTGTTCCGAATACCTTAGCGAATCATTAAAAACCACCGTCATTAACGCCTATGGGGCCGCACGGTTGCACATTAGCTTCACTTCCACGCCCATGCTGCACTTTTGACTGACGGATAAACTGTCTGTGGATGTCGCTTCCTTATGCATGTACCAATTCAACTGTTTCTGTGGGACAAGTTACATAGGTCGCACCACGAGACATTTGTCTGAACGCGTCCGCGAGCATCACCCAGCGTGGCTAAGCCGAGGAGTGAACAAAACCTGCACCACCGCGATAGTTGCGCACCTAGCCCAAACGAATCATCCTGTCGTTATCTCTAAGGCCTTTCACCCGATCTAACGTGTGAGGGAGGTTCATTCCAAGCTTATCAGGTGCCGAATCCTTGCATTGTCGGAGGCGATCGCGATTCGTCCCGATGTGTGTGTACAAACAGTTCGTCAAAGCCTTGACTTTACCATGGCCAGCTGTCATCTGGGTAGCTTCCGCGTGAACGAATCACACACTTTGGGCATTTTGACACCTTCATTTTCTAGTGACTCAATTCATGCATTCTTATCTTAACTAGTTGAATGTGGTGTATTGGTCCTCACGATGTATCACCGCAAACGAACTTGCTTGCTACACCGTCCTTTCATGACGCAAATGGAAGGAGTGGTTCATAAGGTTGGACTAGCAAACAAGTCCTTGGCCTTTCGATTGAATGACCGTGATCGTAGGTAGGTTGGCACTATATAAGTGGAAATCATGTTATTGATCGAGTCACAATCGGGATCTAACTAGGCTTGATCCGTCCTATACCCAAACAGTTTTTACAGATACCCAAGTGTTGCTGCTCGTATACCCTGTGAATAATGGGCGTGTATCGGGGAGAATTGGACCGGAAGGATGTTAAACATATGGTCCTCTACCAGTCTCTCCATTAAGTATGTCGAGTTGGGCGTTTTGTGACGCTGATTGATGAATGAGTTAAGCCGCTATCATTTAGAAGACAATAGGATCCACGGAAATAAGTGGTGGTCAGTCATAACGACTGTTAAAGAGGCTTTAGGTGATGTTCTTTCTTTCTGCTTACTGCCATCTACCAGTGTGGTTAGTGGAACCTGATTACCGAAGTACATGCGATGATGACGTCTGAAACACTATGGGGGGGGGGGCTTATAACACCTGTAGCCCCACCCATAAACGAGTCCTCCTGTTAACGTGCAAACTCGAGGGAATAAGATCTGCAGTCAAGTGAGAGGGAAGCTCGATTGTCTTACGTATCTCCCATGTGTTGTCAACTCACTCCGACCAAAGTAACACCCATAGGATGTGAGTGCATGGTACATGCCAAGACGGTAAGTGCAAATTTTGAAGCCATACCATGGCTACGATCGGTGATTGCCAACCACTCATGAAAGAAAGATTGATGGTGCGTGCTTGCTATACGCGTGCATAATATTAGCGACTGAACCGTGATCTTTTCCTATGGGTAACCGCCGGTTTCGTTTAACACTGTCAGAATGGGATGAGCACAGAAGCGGTATTGGTAGCGACTGGTAAGCTGCCGGAACCGGCAACCGAAATGGCAGTAGTAAATGCGTAGGCGCACCGTAAACATTTGTACGATGGGTAAGTCTACTTCGCCAATCACGAGACGGTGCAGTGAAGTGTTAAAACATGCGCTACCTCAACCGAGAAAACTAAAAATGAAGTCTGGTATTTCGATCAAACATTTGAGACAGGTTGAAATCATAATAATAAGAAAACAGCATACTATTAGCAAGTGAATGTGTGTTCGAGAACCGAGAGCTATGGGATTTTAAGATAACCAAGGGGAAGGAAGAGAAGGTCTAATCGTTAATCACTCTATACTATGAAGTAGTGTTGCTGTAAGATAACCCCAAAAACAGACACCACAAGCTTACAAAGAAACGGTAAGAGAGCAGGAGTCCAGCACAATAGTTGCACGATGAGCCTAGTTACATGCTAAGAAACTGCTTCTGTATTCAGTCCTCTTCACCATATCTGAAAACTTACCCGCCGTAATCTTCGACCCGTTGGAGGGCTGAGTGACGCATTCGGTTGACGCGTTTCGCGTTGAACACAATCAGCAAGCTCAGGGCAGCGAGTAAACCCAGGACGAAAAGTATGCCGAAGATCAACCCGGCAATAGCTCCAGCGTTCATTTGTCCGGATGCAGAACCCTTGGCTAGAGTATGAAGGAGGAAGTGCATAATAGTTTCTCAGTGGATGAGAGTTCATCATCTATATGAGCGGCAAAGTAAGGCAATGTTCGAGTTGATTATAATTACCCAGCTTGATCGTGTGTCAAAAGGAATATTGGAACTCTTATTGAGCTGCGATAACAGAACGGACGAATGCCGGTTGCTCCTGCTCCTGCTGCGCCTTGTAGAGGCGGCATACTTAGTTTGAATTCCGGGTTTTAAACAAATAGCTATTATGAGGAAATGCTTAGTAAAGAGAGTAAGTTAAACGTCTATAATACTTCTGAAAATAGACCCAGCGACAGTTCCTCTGATTGGATCTGGCCAACAGCGGGGTTTCCATCGAACTACGAGACGGTCACCTTATGAGGCGGTGACTTGACGCACTAGGCTAGGGGTTCCCAACCTGGGGTTAATTACTCCCGAAGAGGTAAAGTGGCATTTTTTGGGGGTAAATACTAGTACGAGGATTGGGTTATCAATCGGTCTCTAAACAAGTTTAATAACAAAATCATCCGTATCAAAACATGTCGCTAACTACCTATACACTTTGGATTAGCCATCAGTGACCAGGCATTAGTGACTGCAACCAGATTACTCCTCTATCGGCTCCGGTGGCTATCGTCAGGCAGTCGTTCGCCGAGTCGAATTATGGAGTCGATTGCAAACTATATAGTTGAGCCTTAGTCAGACGACCAGGCAAGGTGACATGCGATTGTTTCCAGGTTAGAAGGGTCAAACGGGCGATTAGTGGTGGTGTCAAGTTATCATGCAGGAATGACTTGGAATGGAGGAATGCAACACGTGAGAACGCGCTGATATCTGTTCATGTTTGATCATGAATCACACATGAAAGGGTCATATGTTGTCTTGAATGGAGATAACAGCAGGCGTTTGAAAGTGCGTAGAACATCGCATTTTGGGTCACAAAAATGGCAGAATCAGCGGGTTGGACACCAGTGACCATTGGGTGTTGGGTTGATCACATTCGTCTACAGTTGATTTTGATGAAAGACCATAGCATGTGAGTGATTTAATTCAATGCCTTTTATATCGACAATAATGAGTTTATCTACAAGCGTTTATGATAATGTCACCTACATTAAATCACGAAAATATTCATATTTCTATATATCATTTAGTTGCCTAATTTTTTGCAGGAACCATGTCTTCTGGAAAAAGGCGGTCCTATAAGGAAGCTTTTCTGCAATGGAACTTCACCAATTTTGTCGACAAAAATGTTGAGAAACCGCAATGGGTTTTGTGCAGCAAAGTGCTCACGGGGGAGAACATGAAACCCAGCAAATTGAAAGACGACGGAAGTCATTCTCAGTTTGTAGGAAAATATATTCCATTCTTCAAACGGAAGGAAGCGGTGCTCAGAAGTTCGTGCCTGGATACATCGGGCTCCTTTTTTCAGTCTGGTCTTGAAGCGTCGCGTCGCTCTCCGAATCGCCAAAAACAAGAAACCGCATACAATAGGAGAGAATCTCATAAAACCTTGCATAATTGTTGCCGTAAAGCTTGTTCTTGGAGCGCAGCATGCAGAAAAGATAAGCATGATATCACTTTCTAACAACACAATCAAAAGTCGTATCGAGGATATGAGCAAGCACATTTGGTAGAAGGTGCTAAAGGAAATAAAGTCAAATCCTTTCTTAGCAATACAGTTAGATGAGTCGACCGCGTTGCATCCTGTTCCCAGCTACTGGTCTATGTTCGGTACATAAAAGGCGACCGCTTCAAAGAATAGTACTTGTTCTCAGAATTATTGAGCACAACTACACGGGGCGAAGATGTCTTTCGAACAGTGAAGGATTTTGTCGAGGAAAAGCATCTACAATGGTCGATGTTGGTGGGTATCTATACAGACGCAGCACCATCCATGTTGGTCGTCCGTTCTGGATTCCAAACGTTAGCCAAAAATTTGCTCTGCACTGTATTTTCAGTCACAGCATAATACATCTTTATGCTTTAGCAGTGAAAACTCTTCCGCCTGTTTTGCTAGACACGTTAACTAATGTATTGAAAATAAATGTCATCTGCGGTAGTGCGACATATACAAGAGTTTTCAGTGAGTTTTGCTATGAATTTGGAGGCAAATTCGACGTGTTGTTATTGCACACGGAAGTGCGTTGGTTATCACGAGGCAGTGTTGCACCGAGTACTCGAGCTTCGAGAAGAAATTGCAATGTTTCTTGAAAGGAAAGCTGCATAAGGGTAAGGTGAACGGGTTACACGTCATGATAACAGGCAACGTATTTATTTCCGAACTAGCATATCTTGCAGATTTCTTGGGAGAAATGAATGCTCTGAACCTCAGCTTGTTAGGAAATATGGTTAATATTTTAACTGCTCAGGATAAGGTTGCCAGTTTTCTTCGTAAAATTCAGCTTCACCAACGCAGAGTAACAGTTGACGATGTGTCGATGTTTCCAGAATTATCAATGCTCGCTGGAAGAAATGAAACATGCGCCTTCACAGATGATATAACTTGGCACTTGTCATCAGTGGTCCATTCCATCAGCAAATGGTTTCCTGATTTGGAAAATCGCCAAGTAAATGCCTGGGTGCTAAGACCCTTTTCAGTGGATGAGGAAATTTTTCCGGATACTGCCATCGAAGCCAAAGCATAATTCCTAGGAATGCGTGAAGATAACGAATTAAAAATAGATTTCCAAAGCACACCACTGGTAGCATTTTGGATAAAGATAGGTGGAGAGTATCCATTGCTATCGAAAAGCGCATTGAGAATATTGATCCCATTTGCAACAACTTATAGATGTGAAAGTGGATTTTCGATAATGGTTTCAATGAATAGAAAAAAAGAGTCGAATGATCCTGGAGCATGACTTCCGATGTGCACTAGCAGAAACTGAACCAAATATACCAGAAATTGTTAGCACTAAGCAATATCAACCATCCCATTGATGTATATCGCCTCTGGATTACATACAGTGTTGCACCAAACAACTGTTTTCTTTCTTTTAAGGATCGAGAGTTATTCCAAAAAGCTATCAGTTCCCGTACTTAGAAGCAAACAGCGCGATAGTTATTCGTTAGTTAGCGTTTGAAACGGAAATTTAGAGAGCGGGTTGATTGTAGCAAACTCCATTAGCGAGAGCCTCAAAAATGTTAAGAATCGCCGGTGTACAGCAACATGCGTTAAGAATAAGTGTGATATAGCTTTCTAACAGCACCATCAAAGTCGCGTTCAGGACACCAGTGGCGCTTAATGAGAGGAACTCATGGATCTTCTTCGCACTGCAATGGGGATCCCGTTTATTTGCATGATCGAAAGTAATTACGTATGGTATTCATTTGCCGTAATTTAAGGAAAAATGCAGTAGTTGCTAGCAAATTGGCTTTAGAAAATTTGGGGGCAACTGCTTAAAGTGAACCCGCTTTGGGGGTAACGGCCTCAAAAAAGTTGGGAGCCCTTATACCAGGCGATGGTGGCGAAATGTCATAACCAATTACCAGCTGCGATGCAGCGGGACGCATTCCCACTGTCGTGCATATCGTAAAAGTACACAGGACAAATTTGCACACCAGAGGTACAACCTTAATATAAATAGGGACATGAACAGCCCCAATGTAAGCAGGAGAGTAAAGAGCAGTTGTCGTCTTTACTTTGTGGTCTAAGCACCTGTAGGTCCCCTGTTTGTGCTTAGAAAACAATGATTTCGCGCGATTCGCGTCGATGTTGGCGCCGTGTTCATAGAAGCATAGGTTCTCCTGTTACCGGTTGTAAATGAGTTGTAGACGTATCCACTTTCCCAGTGATGCACATAATGCAGCAGTTAAATACCACAGTAAAGGACAAGCAACCCGTTATTCAGACCGAAGCTTGAAACGAGAAACCTCCATTGGCACTTATGCATGGAGATCCATAGAGGTTAAAAGTCCATTGAAGGCACTCCGTTAGTTACGTATATGACAGGTATAAGGTATAAGGTTGAATACCACTTCACTCAGTTTGCTTCTATTACACAACTTTGGTGCATCTATTTATTGCAGCTTACGTTATCATAATAGTAGAAGTAGCAGAGAGGAAGAAAGGAGAAGAATCAAAGATGTATACAAAGAAAACACAGTGTTTAGAAATATATAAGTCGGGTATGAACCAACGGTTAAAAGCGGAATATCGAGTGTGCCAGCATGATGAGAGTGTTGTCAACATAATTGGAATGGACAAACATACCCTGAGGAAGCGATCGGTAGACCTCTCTGTGGTGCTCCAATCACAGTTTACACACTCGGCCACTCTACAGAACGGTGCGGTCATTTGTTGGAAAATGCAAACGAGAACGAGGACAGGAGTAGCAAACATACGCGAAAGAGTTGAATCCACGCTACAATGCAAGTACTTACACGGCAATCGCCACTGTTGGTGTGCGAGCAAAGTCACATTATTTGCGCTGACCATGTAGAACTGTACGATACCTTGCTCGATATCAGTTATACGAAACCTGTTCTGCACGGCGGGTTGCGGTGGAAATTGAACAGCAGAACGTGAAAACCTCGGAGATAGAAGTGAGAGATCTGCCTCTTCAATGACTATGTTTTTCGATACCTTCAGCAGCAAATCGACAGTGGTCTGATTCATCAATATTCGGGTGGTAGTACTTCGAGCCAGAAGCTTGAGCAGTTCATCAGTCCGAGAAGGTGAGTTTGTGTTAGCGAAAGGCGATGAAGAGTCTAGAAGGCCCCGATTAGTCGGACTCGTTAGTCCATCAGCACGAAACGTTGAGTCACAGAGATCAACCAGTTGAAACAGTCGATTCCAAACTTGCTGATGTGCATTTATCTATGGAAAAGGCGACCGTTCGTACTTAAGATGATCGATAGAGACGAAAAGGCAAACGAAAATGAAGATGTCAAAACCAAAAGGTTCATATGATTTAGCTGAGTGAATTTCTACTGAGTTGTACCTAAATCAATGTAGCCGGCTGAATCCGCGAAGGCAGGGATAGACCGTTAGCAGGCTCTGGTCATCTGATCTTGAACGTGGTAGCGAAAATGTAGGATAAGGGTGATTCACCTAGAAGCAGGAACACTATGAAGAAGAGGCCACCGGGCGTGTTTAGGAGGCGTGTGTTCGAATCGATGAGGAGGTAAATAAATATAGGGAGAGGCTAAGAGTAATATAATGTACTAGTACATTGGATCACAGGTATTGCTCTCATGGATCTTGTGTGCAATGGAGAAATTGGAAAGCATGACCAAACAAGCACCGGTAAGGTCGACTTATGATGCGATGCATGTGCGGAAGCCTCCGGCAATGATGGAAACGTTACAGAGAAGGCTAAATGGATACCATGGTGGAGGATGGTGGAGTGGATTGATGTGGAACACGTGGAACCGAAGAGGTAATTTATTGTAAAGACGTCTTGCCTCTTCTTTGCTTGCGATATTTTACTCCGTAGCCATGCTCGTCGTCGATTACGCTTGTTTAGTAATAACCCGGATAAAAGTGCAAACTGGGATGGTCTGATCACAGACCAACAATTTATCTATCACGCAACCAAAATCCACGAGCAAACATCCACAGATAAGGGGTAACGTAAAAAGGAGTGTAACACACTTAAACAAAAAGTATTCCTCATGAACTTCATTAGAACTGATGTAGACGAGGTGGCTATTTTGATGAAAGCCCTGTTGTTTACAGCAATTCATAGAACAAAGAAAAGCTGGTAAGTTACAGAGTCATATAGGACGGGAATCTATGGAACACATGCGAGTAAGTCTACCTGAAACGGTTTGTGCTGCATGTTAATCTACGATGGTAGAAGACAACCTACGAATGGAGACTCGTACGGCTCATAGATAGGCACAATGATGAAACGGAAACAGTAGCGATAAGGTTGTGTAAATCCAGTGCTCAATGAGAGGCTCAATGTCAATTCAACAGTCCTCTGAAGTAAACAACTGGGAAAGAAGGCGGGTGCCCGTCGTGTATTTCCAACCATGCTGAACCGAGCAACGCTAATGCCATTAGCGGGCGTTTCACTTGGTAAGGTTTATACCAAACGCAGCCATGCATTCGCGTTTCATTAGCCGTCGATGCTGTACATAACAGACTGCGCCAGCTAAGGGTTAACGCTCCAGTATGAAGTAACAGTGAGCAAAGATCAAGTCGAAGCCAGCTGAAGGTGGTGGGGTCCGTAGATAGATCTTGAGTGAAGGCTGAGAAACGTGGTCCCAATTGGAACTACTATGAGCTCTGCAGTAAATCATGATCACTCCGATCGATTGGACTACCATCACAAGTAAACATACGATTTTACCCTGCCGTCTCACCGCTAAAACATACGGCCATTTAGCCGACCAACCAGATGACGAATTGTTTAATCGCATGTTTCACTTCAATCCATACATAGGTGCAGTCGAAGATCATGTTGTTACGACGCCCAGTTGATTGTGGGCAATTCAGTTCTGATTTTTCAAGCACATTCTTAATCATACAATCCTGCTGCTCCAAACTCAAGTACCTGTAAATTTCTCCATCGGTTCGAAGCAGGTTTTACTGAACCTACTCAATCTAAGCAACCACACATTATCAGTATTTATCAGTATAAAACATGGCCGGTTGATAAGCATTAAGCACTAAACCTCACTTCATCAAAGAACAAAGGTAGATGAACATCGTGATTCCATGGTATTGACACGCGTCTCAATGGTTGATATGAGGAGCAGAGATAGCTAGGAATAAAGCGTATACGTTGCAAGGAAAAGCGGGAAGATGAGAATACTAGCGAAAAATCGAAATGCCGGATCGGAAAAGAGGCATCTCCGAAGGAGGGAATAACAGGGCACAAAGAGATGACTGACAAGTCTTAATGAATTTGACGTCACGGGATGTCAGCAGCGCAAACAGTTCCGGACACAATGCTAAAAAGCCCGGTCTAAGACGAGACTGACTTACAAACATGTGTGTGCATGTATAAGGCGTAAAATAGGTGGGTTTGCCACTTCTGACATTCCTAATGGATGGGGCCAAACTTTGCTGCATCAGTGCTCACTAGAAGGTATCCAAATCAATAAACGTCGCATATCTGATGTGGGTGAGGAAACAGTGGAATACCAAACTGGCACTCACTAGCGAATACGGTCCAAGGCAATTATCACACGGCACCCAAAGCATACGGATGCAATCCTTCAAACTTCTCTGAATTCCTTCATATACTTTGGTCATATTCTGTGGATGCCTGACGGTAGTTGAACGATCAGGAGGGCGTTCAGCGAGCACAACCACCAATAACCCGACTAAACCACGAGTCTGACCGTCTATGGCCCAACGGACCTGAATGCACAAGTCATCGGGGTCGGACAAAATTACGCGTCGAACGTAAGAATTCCAGTCTTCGGTAGATTGGCTAGATGGCTGCTTCGGAACGCACAATGCCATGTCCTTCGCCAACGTTGGAGGCTGAACATCGACAGATATATTGGTGATTTTGAAGTGATCTATGATGAAGGTAAAAATGCCAGTTGAGCACGGAAGACATGCAAGTCAAGAGATACGAATTGATAAGGATGGCGTGAGTCTAAACATGTTAAAACTTTTGCCGCTGTGCCGTCTGTATGTGGAACCATTCGGAGGATGGTCCTCACTGCGGTTCGTTAAATGAGTCAAATTTCCGACAGTTCGACGTCTAATCATAGATCACATAAACTGATTTCACGAGACAAAAGTGGATAAAATACTCGATATCGAGCGACAATAGTGTTTTGAAAAAGAGCCAGAGAAGATAAACGTGATGAATAAAATGTCTGCACATAAATATTTGTCCGGCTCCATGGGAATGTCTAGCGCAAAATAGATGGGAACAGACAGCTCATTGATAAGTAGCATAGAGTTCGGTTTAGCCCAAATAAAGACTATGATCCGGCACCGAAATGCGGCGACTACAATTGCCACGACTGTCGTCACCGTGACAATCAATAATCGAGAGTGACGAGAAAATGACCCAAATGTATTACAAAGAAAAGGGGCTATGACGAAGGCGATCGAAATTGATCAGGCTGAAAGTTTAATACAACTGGTTGAATAAGACTGCATGTAAGAGCGTCACTGACTTCGCTACTGTGTCATCTCGGGTAATATAGCCTAATCCTGTGTGGTCCATCCCGAGGTTCGCATCTACGATGACGGCAAGAAATAACCCGATGGAGTCGCTCAGTCAGTTTTTCGTGTCTGGTCGCTGCGCGATCGATTGACTGCCCCGTTGGTGCATCGAATCGAGTACAGCAGTGGAAAGGTATGAATACCAAGAAAGGCGGACAACAAACATGTGAGGGATATGAGCTAGTCGACACAAGCGGGACTGAGCATGTCTAACCAGTAATTATTGATTTTCAAGTTAAATAAAAAAACAGTTCAGCGTAAAACTCAATGGATGCTTGAGGTAAGCAAACCATTGTATCATGCTACTTCCTAGTATCCTGCTGACAGTGAAACCAGTCTTCATTAAGAAACAGCAAATGTATATCGTATTATTGTGGAATAAAAATCCCAAGTAAAGGAAGAGTAAGCAGACTTTCGACTTGGACGGAACAGTATAAAAGTTATTTGCGCTCTAAGGTGGATAATAAGACAACGTCTCGCGTATCACAGGCCAACTATAGCTAGGATGTTAGATTCCAAGACGCTGTTCCACTCAACTGATCGTTCAGCGCTTCGTGATATTTTTACGCCGAAAGACACTCTCTTGAAGAGTGAGGATGTGTTTGGTGCATTGTATTCGTACAGCAGAGAATGGGTCAACGTCTGAGGAGAGCTGTCGGATGATCTTCAACATAGCAAGTGATACCATGGGTGCTCTATTTTCACATTTTAATGTAACTGCATCCCGAACTGGTAAAGGATGTTTCCTCGCGGAACAGTACGATGTAGCTATGGATATCTCATCCAGTGGAGTTGGTCGATTCGAATTGCGCAGACGATATGTCATGCTGTTTGACAATTGTGTCTTACGGTTAACTCGAATAAAGCTCTCTCGAGTGGTTTCATCCTTCCGCATGCGAATCGCGCCCTCAAGGTTCAGGGTTGTTGCACGACCACAAACTACCTGATAATTTAAGCGCAGTGATGAGAGAGAGAGAGAGCAATACCGAAACCCTCCACTTGATATCAGTTTGAATGTCGACTATGAAGAACTGGATCTAGTGGATTTACTTATGACGGAAGATATCTCATGGCATGACCATTGAAGCTAATTCACGTGTTAAAGGAACTCATGGCACGTGTGTGTGTGTGTGTGTGTGAAAATGCAACACTTTTAGCACCACATGATTCACATGGTTCCAACTGCCGCGTACACTGGACCATAATGAGAGACCCTGTGCACGGAATCCAGAGTTGGTTTGTTCGGCTTGAAGACCTCAGGTGTCGGGTGCTCCAAAATTGTTGTTCGCGTAGGGTGACTCTAGCGAGTCTGTAACGGCAAGGTGCGTAGATACATAATAGAGTTTGTTGAATGGCATAGTACTTAAGATCGATCAATTAGGCTGAATAAGCTGCAGTGGATCGAAGAACAGGCATCGTAACACCGCTCTCCGAGAACAGCATTATTCTTCAGTAAGTGAAATGATCACCTAACTGGTTAACGCAACTACTGAATAAGAATCCCGAGCTACCAGTTTTGCGAATTATTTGGAGCAGTTGATTGGAAGGTTATTTTGAAGTAGTCGTTGTGTGAATGGATTTTGACGTGCAATCTCGATGTAGACAGTGAATCGCATTAAAGTGAACTCTGGTCAATCCGATCACTACGAGCGTAGCTGAAGCAGATGGAAACTGGGTGTAACCCGTTCGAAAACGGGTGCACTCGACGACGCGTTTCTACCTTATTCGAACTCATGTGGTAGAGATAGCAGAGCTCGAGCCCGTTGCTCTATGGGTTGTCCATCGTGCCTCGGTGGCTAAAGAGTCAGAGATCACAACTAATGTCCCAATGGTCCGAGGTTCAAGACCTGTTATCCCTACCTGATGAGGTCAGATAAAGCCGAGACGTATCGTGTTGTGTTATCAGGCGGGCAATACCTAATTCCCATCTATTTCGAACAGCATTATCCTGCTCACTCTGATGGTGCACAATGTGAGTATCGAGGGAGGCAATTGTTAAGCTAGCAACAGGAAGTGAATTCGTTCCTCATTAGGTTACATGATATTGGTTCTTCTCGCTACCAAAGATGAGATCCACGCGGCCCAGCGAGATGTCACAGGATGTCTTCTAATCGATGCGTGGTTGTCGTCACGTTTTAGACAGAATGCCTATTTACACTGCACCTGCCACTGAGATTGATTGTGAGGCTCAGAAGTGAAAACAGCGGGCATTTCGATCCATTAATATAATATATGTTAGCTCTCTTAGTCACTGGTCAGGAATCAGGTAGTCATGACCACGAGAATCCCGGGTTAATTATTGCCTATGTACACTGGCCGGTGCTCGATGTTTGCTCGCTGTCACCATATTCTGTCTGCGCCTGTCCATCCGACCCAGACATTTAGAGTCATATGGTATGGGCTGTGTTTGCTTGGCTTTTCGTGCGTCGGCCCCATTTCCGTACTTTTATGTTTTGGTTAGCTGAAGCGCGAGGGCTGCTCGTTCGCTGACATCTGGGATAATCCATGTCTGAAACAACGGAGTGCCTCGTTCATGTAGGATTCCGCATTGGTGTTCTATCCACTGAGTGCGTGCTAATCCCTCTCTCTCTCTCGCTCGATCTATTAGGTAACATCACCTAACCATATGACAGCCAGCAAAGGAGATATTGTGGGTCTGGCAAGGTATTATAGGGAGAGCAGTCGGTACGGTGACAGTGCAGCAAAATATCAGTATACTGTACCGGTGTATCGGCGTTGCTCAGGGCCGTATGGAGTATCATAGTGAATATGAGGAATACGATTTAGAAGTTGGCGAATGACGAAGAAAGAACAATAGCAACGCCGTTACTTGGTCAGCTAGGTATTTATCTTATTAACATGCAGTCTAAAATGAACATCTATTATTCACAATGTACTGGAAAGAGTTGTTGGAAAATATTAGACTAAACCGACTGAGATGCATGTCAAGAAGAGACGAAACACCGGCGAAACACAGTTCAGTTCAGTTGAACAACTATGATCCGAGCACCAAAGTGCGGTGGATCCAGTTGCCACGACCCATCGCCAGAATAACAATAAATAACGACGGCAAGGTAGTGGGGTTGAAGGCAAATAGAACGTAAAGAAAATGGGAACAAGAAGGGAGTGTTAATCTAATCAGAACGGAAAGAGAATTAACAACCACGTGCAAGCAAACGAATGCAGTAACGCCACGGACTTCGTGACTGCGTCAAGTCTGACAGAATCTCCAACCATTAGTATGGACCACACAGGGCTCCATCTACGAAGACAACCAGCACCAGTCTGACGAAGTCTCTAAATCAATTTATTTATACATATATGCCACGTCATGCACTGGACACTTCACGGTTTCGCCCAAATTCGTGCAGCCACGGCGCATAATGCACGTCGAGGAAGCCGATCAACGGGCATACGGAGAACATGGTGTTGCCAAAGTAAGCGATTAAAATCCATCAAACACTCCAGTGAGGCACCAGAAGGCTTCTTGCCAAAAAGCAACTGGCGGACCTCAGCATTGCTCATCTGGTATTCCCACCAGACGTGAGCAATACTCCCCAAGCAGCGGTGGTCAAACACAGCCAAGCGTTTAATACCTTCGTCGCGAACTGGATGGGTATTTGATCCATACAGCAACACCGGCCTTACCGCAGCGTTATACACCCTGCCTTTCATTGACAAGCTGATATCTCGCCGTCTCCATATATGGTGGAACAAGCCGAGCAGCTGAACAAGCGTGCAGTTAGCGAGGTAAAAGCGTGCAGCAGATAAAACCTACGACCACACTCGAAACGAACACAATGGCCTATTGAAAAAAGGAGTCCGATTTGTCAGCAAAATAAGTGGAAATAGGGTATCAACGTGGATAACGTCTTGTAATAGCTAGGTGAGCCCCCTTCATAGACTATTATCGTGTTCACTCTGAGGTGTAGCTGTCTGGGTCCATAGATAGACCACAACGTATGATTCTTATAAGAAAGGCATGTGACACCCAGTAGTTGTCCAAAAACGCGCATATTTTCCCTACGTCCAAAGGTTACCAGTACGAATGGGATGTAAAGCACTACCGATTCCTTAGGGAACCAGAGACGGACATCTAGATATGAACCTCAATCGAATTAAAACAAAACCTCGGCATTTGAATAGCACGGATAATAGGGAAGTAGATAGATGTTATGTGCTGCTAGTTCGTGGATAATAGGGCTTGTCTCCCTGATTGCGAGCACATAGTTGGCACTTCGTAGTACTTGATGTGCGTATGGATTGCGACAAGTAACTACAAACCAGAACGTACAAAGAATGAATTTATTTTGGTCCCAATCAGAGCAGTGGAGACCAAC